TTTTTGTTATTTCCATAACTGTGCTTGGCTTAAAAACAGATAAAAGCCATTTAGGCAGCAACCTTTTTTGGCCAATATTCCTTGCAGAGTGTGACTCTGTAATAAAAGGATTCTTTAAGTTTATTGTGTAAACAACAGCTTAATCACAACATTTCTGCAAAAAAAGTATGTTTCTATGACTCTAATGTTATATAATACTTTTTTAATGAGAAACCATGATAATAAAAAATGAACAGAATAAATCTTTATTTATTTTCATCAGAGGTTTCAAGTAACAAAATACAAATACTTTGTTACCTTACTTAATTAGAAATTTGGCTATCTATGCTTTACTGGAGCAATTATTTTCTACACTACTTTTTACTTCTACTACTCACATTTCTTTGCAATCGTCTCTACTTTCTACTACTTACATTTCAAGCATTTCTGTTATGGACTTTAGGTATTCAAGAAAATCAAAATAAGTTGTTTCATCCAGACAATTAATTTTCTTTGTGCTGCACCAACTTGTTGTTCTCCACATACCAAAATAATTTTTTCAAGATGATGCAAAGTTAAATATGATACTTGCCATTAGTTGTAAAAAAAAAAATAAGTATAAAGAAGTTATCATCCCGAATTATAGAAATATCTTCCTTAAAAGAGTAGTGCAGTAAAGCATCTGTCCTTAACATTTTTTCCTGCATGAATTTTACTTTTATACTTTCAGTAGTTTTAAAAATGTTACTTTTACACTTTTACGTGAATAAAAAGCTCAAGTTGATACTCTAACTTCTACAAAAGTATATTTAAACAGTAAGATTTATAGTTCTATTTGAGTAATAAAGATTAATACTTTTGACACCTTTGTTTTTTTAGAAACAAAATGTAATACAAAATCTCAACATCAAGATGTTAAGACATACCTGCAGTTTTAGGCTGTTTTGAATTCTAGGGATAGACATTTTTTTCCTGTTCTCTCTTCAACACTTGGCAGTGCTGTTCAAGTCTTACTGGACAAAGGCAGACTTGGAAAATGAGGGGGATATAGGTTCAATAAACTAAATGTTTTTTGTCATTTTAAAAGTTTGAACAAAATGAATCAAACAACAACAATAAAAAGCATTCTGTCAAAAAATTCATCATTTTAAAAACGTTGAGCACAATGTAAAGGCAATTCAAAGGAGTTGATGTGTTTAAAGTGTGGTGTACATCTGGTAAAATAAGAAGATATCATTAAAGCCCATTAGACTTTCAACACCTTCAAACAATTCAAAAGACGTCAGCTTTGTTGACTGAGTCAGATAAGATGGGAAAATGAAAGTCAAAATGTACAAAGAGTAAAGATGAGAAAAAAAGATCAGAGTCTGGAGTTATTTTTTCAGGTTTTGTCAGGATTTTTCTTCAGTCGCTGTTTAGTCTTGTTCTTCACAGCAGGGGGTCTGTGGTGAAGCTGAGCTCTCACCGCCGGAGACCATATTGGATAGCTTAAGGGGGAGTTATCCAGAAGGGGGATGTAAAGTCAATGGAATAACAAATGAAGTCAAAATTCTCTTTTTATTGTAGAAAATGCCTAAAATAGACAGCCTAATGATAATTGTATCTTCTTATTAAATGCTTGTTTAGATACTAAATCACACAGTATCCAGTTGTGTGATGTTCTTGTGATTTTAACCAGGAATCTGTCTGTAGATCCACCCCTCTCTTGGATAACCAAAAGTGTTGTGAATACAGTTGTAAATCACTCTGAAGCCCAGCCTGCTTACCTCTGCTGAGAAGCTGCAGGTTACGTCCCTCCTCCTGCAACTGGAGCTGCAGCACTTGTTGCAGCAGCTCCTGCCGAAGCGTCTCCTGCACCAAACCCATCCTCTCCAGCTTCTCCCCATTTAGACGCAACAATGCACGACCTGCAAGATGAAAGCGCAGAAACATAGAAATATGATTTTAGTCCACATTTGCCTTAGATATTTGAAATGTCCAGCTAAAACCATGTATCTAAATACACCATTTGAAGACAACTATTAAAAGTATAT